ACTCATCGATGTTTCTATCTCTCTCTCTCCCTCTCCTTTCCTCTCTCTGAAATCAATAAAGATATATTTTAAAATTTTAAAAAAAATAAATAAATAAAATTAAANCTGCAAACAAAGTCAGTGTGTTTAAAATGTGACATATTTAAAATTAATAAAAATAAATGCAGAAGTCAACCACCTTACCTCTGAAAAATCATTCCTTTCTGCTTTTCGCACTGCAGATTCTGCCATCCAGTTCTTCAGCACGTATCTAGGATTAACAGCTTAAACAAGAGGGGAAGCACATATTGGAACCACAAATTACTAGGTCAACACAGGCCGTACAAAATTACAGCTGACATTAGATAATATTCAAGAACTTTGCTGGAAGGCTCTAAAGAGAAGACATGATCAGCATTAGTCAATTTTGATCATTTATAAACAATGTACAGTATTTATTACCTTATGGTACAGAAAAAACTTTTTGAGCGATATTTTTTCTTTTCAGTGTTTCATCAAGTTGTCTTTTCCAGTATGTTCAGTTCACTAAGCATTTTATAAAGAACAGAGAAAGCAGTGAATTCATCTGAATTAGGCCCTTTATTCTAAGTGGAGAGGAGAAAAGTTGCTGCTTTTAACATCCACAATCACAGAACTAAGGTCTGACTCGGGAGCACTGCTTAGAGCTGATGCTGCCAAGAACACACAGGAAAGGTTACCTGTAGGCAAAGTTCTATTTTTGATAGTAACCATGCATTTTTAAATACTAAAAAGCATAACAATGGCACATTTAGAAAAATTCCAGAAACTATGTCTTTATTTGAGATGAGGTTTTTTTCAAAATAATTTATCAACTGGGTGGCATAAGGGAAATTCTAGAAATTACTATTTTGTGGTTTTCAGCAGCAGTTTTCTGAGTTACTTGAATGCAGGAAACAAATTGCATTTCAACTTGTTTTTAAAGGTATGCCAAGATATGAGAGATAATTAAAAATAGAAGTGCCCTGTGACTCAGTAATTCTAATTCTCTAAAAATATAGTCTATAGGGGCAAACTTAAACATTAAAAATATTATTCATATTATTAAGGAAAACTAGAAATAACTTAAATACTTAATAATAGGGGTATGGTTAAGTAAAACATTATATATACCTTCAAAGACGTATTATTATGCAGCTATTTAAAATGTTACATTATAAAAAAAGAAAAACTGCTTAATTTATTTTTAGTGAAAAAAAGATCCAAAATTATAGCCCTGTATGATTACTACTGTATTTTTTCCTAATCAATGCACAGAAAAAGAGAGACTTGAAGTAAATGCATCAAAAAGTAAATAGGAATTGTCTTTGGGAATACAGGAATCTTTTNGAAGTAAATGCATCAAAAAGTAAGTAGGAATTGCCTTTGGGAATACAGGAATCTTTTTATTCTTTTTACAAGTTTGCCTTTTTAAAATTTTAAAGAATTTATACAGAACTACTTTAAATAAAAACCTCTGTACACTATATATATATATATATATATATATATATATATATATATATATA